CATCCTCCGAAGTAAAGGAACGGGGACGCACCGTTAGGCTATTCGGGACGAACAGCCTTAAGGAGGGAGCAGTGTGACATGTTGCGCCAAGCCGAGCCACCCCCCACACACCAGCAGTGACGCGGCGGGTGAGTCAGCGCTCCCCTCCCCCTCCTCCGCACGGTAACGAAGCCCGCCCCGCCACTCCCCTCCGCGGTGACATCACGCGGTGACGCGGAACTGCTTCCTACTGTGACGTGGAACGTAACAGGCAATCCTGCGGCTATATAAGTGAGCTGCAGTGCCGGTACGAGTTGAGTTCTAATGTGGGTACCAAGAGTTCTACTGTAGCAGCCGCCTAATACGGTTGTACGGTGACAGCCGCCGAGTTATAAAGTAACAGCCAGCCGACTACAGTTGGAGTATAGCAGCCGTCGCGGAAAGAAGATCCGGACGTGTGAGTGATTGTGTAATTGGGAGCGTGTGATACAGCGATACCTAGCTCCGCTACTGTCAACGTGTATACTACTGAACACAGAGTGAACTGATTTGCGCATAGGGTTATAAATCGTGAAACCCCGCAACAGTGTCGACAGATTAATGCGATTAGGGTTATAAAGTGTGAAACCCCGCAACTGTGTGATAAGTAATTGTAGCCGTTATTTGTAGATTGTTAAATAAACCAATTAACCATCTCTACGGCGTCTTCGGTAACGTAAACACGTTACATTGGTGTCAGAAGTGGGATCGGTAACGGAAACACGTTACAATATTTTTAAAACTACGAGTATGTTCCACATTACAGATCAATGAAAAGTGACAATTCCTTACAAAATAATACTTTTTCTGCCTTAGACAATGAACAGTGGCCTCCGTAGTCTAGGGGTAACGTTCCTACCTCATGACTCAAGGTACACGGGTTTAAACCTGGCGGAGGTCGTGGAATTTTTCAGGGTGGAAAAATTGAGGGAATAAGTCCTCCGGGAGGGACTTTAAGCCGTGTGTCCTGTGTCGTAGATTTACAGCATGTAAAAGATCCTCATGTCTCTAGGAGACCTCTGAGCAAAATTAGGCAAAGCTTCCCACCCAAATAGTTTCCAATTCCTCCGGTAGATGGGGAAGTATCGGGGACCAATGCCAGAGAGGGCCAACCTCACTGGCAGAATGGGGCTGATAGCAAGCACCAGTACTGGAAGGGCATGGCGACAGTAGAAATTAAAGGGGGACGGACAATAGATCAACAACTGGTTGCAGTGCATGGGGAAACCCACCCCCTCCAAAAATAATAATAAATAAATAGACAATGAACCCTTCAAGGCTTATATTCTATTCTCCTTCTAAATCAAAGTAGGTAGGTAGGAAAAGAAGGAAATTGTTAAGATCAGTTACATACATCAATATTGCAAATATGAATAATCTTCTTCCACCATGCTGCCTTTAATGATTTTTAGATTTAACTGTTTTTACTGCACATTATGTACATATGCTACCAAATTCCTACCATGGGATACACCAAACTGTGCTTTCTCAGATTGTTGGTCGTGACCACCAGGATGCTCATGATCAACTCTAATGGAATTTCCAAGTTCTCAAGATTTATTTAAAACTTGGTTGTAAACAAGCACTGTTCTGGCAAGTCAATAAGGTGTAATATAGGCTCTTCCAAAGCATGTAACTGTGGCTGAAACACACTGATTAATGTAAATGTACAGGATTTCTCATCATTATCATAGTTGTCGTCATCATCACGGTTTGAGCCTTCAGGTCTGCTCTGTTCTCTTACCGAATAGGTTGACCAATATACCACAGGTCTCCAATGAGCCTACTTCCTTACGTATATAATTCATTACTTCCATAGGTGCATGATGAGGGTCATGATGTATGATGTCCCATTATTTTCATTGTTCCTAATTTTGTTATTTCAGTTACATAATTTTAATTCCTTCTAAGTACTGTATTTCTAATTTGATCTTTTTAATTTATATCCTATGCTATTTCTAGAAAATTTAACCGGTACATCTTCAGAAGCCATTAAATATGTTACAATCATTGTAAAAACCTACAAATAACAAGTTTCAAGAAAAGAAGAGAGGAAGTTAGCATTACTACATTATTAAATAAATAAATAAATTAATAAATTTAAGAAACTGTATATTTCACAGTGTACTACACATCATGTCTTGTGTTGGTAAGAGTGAATTGCACAAATGTACATACAAAAAACAAAACTGGCAGTCACAATTTTAAACCTGCTGAGGATAAACACAGCAATACAAATGAAGTAAGGGCACTACAAGCACAGTCAATTGATTGCATGGTAGCAATCCCAAATAGATTGACTTCACAAGAACAGCCAATATTTATGACCTACTGCATTAGATGATGAAATATTTTTTAATTAAGGTATCAATCTATTGTACTAATTTAGAAAATATAAAATTTCCTTCATGTCCTTTTATACATGATTGTGTTTCCTGGCACTATTCATTTTTGCACAAAATCACAAAAAAAAAATACTAAGTTTAAAGTTGAGAGTAAGCCAAAAATGAATTCTTAATTACCATATTGTAACATGTTGCGCGACTGAGAACCCCCCTCCACCCTCCTCTCCACGGTAACGTAGCGCTCCCCGCCACTTCCCTCCGCGGTGACGTCACGCGGTGACGTAACGCGCAACGCTAACGTAACCGTAATCAACGTCCTACTGTGACGTGGCACTCATTACGCCACAGGCAAGCACTGCAGCTATATAAGTGGATGCACAGTGCGTATCGATCAGTTCGAGTTCG